GTGTTTGTGTGTGTGTGTGTTTGTGTGTGTGTGTGTGTGTGTGTGTGCCTGCCTTCCAGGCTCAATGCTACAGTTTCCAGAGCAATGTTATGAAAGAGAAATATAATGGAAGATTGTAGATTAAGATTAAGTTTTACTGGTCACACTGAAAAAAAATGTGTGTACATATGTCTTTCCACATGTTTATATGATGTGAACATGTATATGTGTATGCACACTCATTCATGGAGACCAGAGGTCTACACTGAGTATCCATTATTTTTTGAGACAGATCTGTTTGAATCTGAAGCTTGCAGAATTTGGCTACCTTGGCTGGTCCTGGAACTCCAGTATATTCTGTCTCCCTAGAGCTGGCATTAAAGGCACATGGTACACCTGCCATTTTTGTTAGGGTTTTTGGGGAATCCCAATTCACGCCCCTCTGGCTGATGCAGCAAGCATCTTCTTTACTCATTGAATCATCTCCCCAAGCCCTGAGATGAAATGCAACGTAATGGCATTTTATGTGTGATTTCAATAGACAATAATTGTGAAATTAAGCAGGTTTGCGTGTGTGTAGGGGGTGAGGTTAGGTGCTTGAGGCCTGGAGTGTACTTTACTGCTGTAGCTGGTCTCATAGACCAGCTTCACCTCAAGTTCTCAGCAGGGAAGTCACAGCCCTAGAAGATCTCAAACCAGACAATAGATCACAGATGACAGCAATGGGTGGTGAAGGCAGCAGTGAAACATCATCACTGTACTTCCCCATCCATCCTCTTAGTGAATCAATCCAAATGTTGCTGAAAGGTCTATCCTCAGCTCACTGCGGTGCATGCAAACCTTTAGGGGGGCATGAGCTCTGGAGTGAGATGCCTGTATGACTTGGAAGTTTCCTTTTACAACCTTGGATTCTTGCATATCTGCGAAATAGCATTAATACTTCAAACACCTGAGTCATTATGGCAACTAATTAAATAATTTGTTTGACATCTGCCACCAAAAGAGCAGTTACTAGTTACTTTACAAATCAGTTTAAAATGAACTATGAAGACAACTACTAGGTGCTGTGAATCATTTTTCTAATTCTCGAAGGAAAGTGGCCATTAACCATCCATACCAGAGTTTGTTGTTGTTGTTCTTTGTGTTGAACTCTGGCTTGGAACTCAAGATCTCCTAGCCTTCAGCCTCCTGTATGCTGTCTTCAAGGTAATTTTTTAAGGAGTAGGCACAGCCAGCTCATTGCATCTATAATCAAAACAAAACAAAACAAAAAAACCCCTATAAGTTAAAAATTCAGAATTTACATTAGCTTTTATTTGATTTGAGACAGGCTCTCAACTGTGTATGCCAGGCTGCTAGAATTCATGGCTCTCTTCCCTGTCTTATACTCCTGTGTCCTGAGATTTCAGAGTGTAGACCACTAAAAGCTCTATGTTCTGTTACCTTTGGTGAAGAATCTTAAAGTTATGGTTGTAGGTAAACTAAGGAAAAATGTTTCCATTTGCTCCTCCATATTTTCCTTTTCCTTCTTATCCTCTGCCATTTTCCTTTATTTCAAGTTAGCATAAAGAAGTGATTAAGGTAAAACTAAAGGGGTTAGATGGAAGTTTGTTGTACTGAGTTGATCTTTCCATGAGAGACAGTTCAGAGGTGACCCATCCTAACCACCTTTACTGGGACATACAGGATGGAGAAAGACACTTCTTGAGAAAACATTGGATTTGCTTCACAGAATCATAACTACAAAAATACAGGGCAGCAGTTCTCAATCAACTCAGGGGGAAAAAAAGATGAGAAATAAGTATATGTCACTATGTATTGTACCAAGTGCATCTTCCACAGGAATTATGTTGCAAATAAAAGGTATGGCGAGCTTCTTAAGATGCTTAAGTAGAGTGGTGAATAGATGCAGGATGCACTTACTGCATCTATGGGCTATATTCTGAAAGGCTGAACCACACAGAGCAAAGAAATGTACCAAACCATCAATTTAGCAGGTCATTTTGAACGTAGGCAGCAAAATGGCTGTGTTTGTGAAAAGCCACTACTATATTTTGAAAGAGCCTTTCTAAGAATCCTGAAATATTAATAACATGGTCTTAATGTAGTTAAGGGTGGCAGGGGCTGCCGAGAATAGCACAATGACAATTTTATATTTTTTGCTTGTGCTTGTAAAAGCAAGAAGTTAAGAGATGAAAATAGTCAATGTGTTGAAAGAACAGCGGCTTTCAATTTTCTAAATTGGAATAGAACTCTGTATTTCTCTCGAATAAAGTCATTTATCCTTGGTAGCATGTTGATATGAACATTGAGGAAAAGAAGAAACTATATAAACTCATGCATTTTCTCTCCCCTTTAATTCACTGGCGAAGTACATAGTAAGTTTTGACCTTTTAACAAATTGGAAGAAACATCTTCTGGTAGAATCCATTGTTTTTGTTATCATACTAATCAGCCACTGACTAATTTCTATTAATCATCACCTTCGATTCTCTTGGTGCAACATTAAATGTTGATGGTTGATTAAAAAAAAAAATGAAAGTGTGCTTGAGTTAGCCAGTGTCTGGTCCCTTAAGAAAAAGTTCTTTTCCCAGGTTGGGCATTTAGAGGAAAGCTCTCATTCCCTCAGGGGCTTAAAGAAAGTTCCTGCTTGCTAAAATGGAAGTCATTATCCTTTTCTCTGGTTAGAGGAACTTGTGGCTCTTCCATTAACATATGACTGGTGCTTATTAACTTGTCAAGGTCAATGCTTGCCTGTAGGCTCTCTCAGTCTCTACACTACTGCCTTACCTCTGCTCACAAGACGTTAAAATCTTTTGTGTCTTGTTGATACTCCTAACTTGAGTTACCTGAGTTGCTTTTGTACTATGTGACTCACTGAGTGACAGGTGAGAGAGACTCAGGGAGTTTGTGCATTTGTTTAGGGCTCTTCCTGTGTGATATGGGACCACAAGACCTGGCAGGCTTCTTCTGCCATTGTCCGGGGTAGGCAGATTTTCATGAAAACCCTAGGGCCATCTTAAACACGACCCAAAGCACCTTGCAAGCTGAACCATATCTAATTATGGGATACATATGAACTTGGGAGACACATAAATCACAGCCACGAAAGCAATTTGTTTTTCTAAAGATGCTTCGGTCCAGTGAAAGACCGAAAAGCAAACAAGGGAGAGATTGATCTGGGAGCACATTTATTGTTGGTGCTCCACACGCCATAAAGTTTTGGCTCGTTAAGGGAATTCCATAAACAACTTTAGTTAATAAGAGTGAAGTAACTGCGCCTTTCTGAGCGCCTGCTAAAGTCCTTCTCCGCTTGTCATTATGGGGCAAGAGGAGAAGGAAAATTCTTGCTGGCCAGGCCATAGGGTGAGGAGGCGGGCTTCACTGGACGGTACATGGGTGGATGCTTTTGGACCAGTGTGGCTGCTCACTGCTGCGGCTGCCGACTCTGTATGCTCCTATCTCCACAGAGAATCCAGCGCGTGTGGATCACTACATCTAGTCCTTGTGGAGAGATATCTGGATGGTTGGTCTGTTGCATGTCGGGCTAGTGGGCTATGCAACGGGTCCTTCCTCCACACAGGTTGTGGTAGTATCGACACATTCTGAGGACAATGATGAATGAAGCTAACATAGAGAAAATCACGCAGGGGAAATTGTGGGTAGCTCATTTTCTTTCCCAACCTCAAATGCTATGGAATAACTTAATTATCAGCGTCCTTATGTGTGACCTTAATACTTGATGGGGCCAGTCAGTTTTTATTTTAGGTTAAGATAGGTTTGGAGAGTAACCATTAAAGGGTGTGGAAGGAAAAAAAAGCGGGGGGGGGGGGGGAAGGTGGCAAAGCCCTATTAATTAATTTTTATGGTGAGGTTTCACAGCAGCATTGAATTTTTCCACATTAGTGAAAGTAGTCCTTGGTGTCCGTGTGATGTTTATAAAGCTGAGATCATGGAAAGCCGATCACAGGTGCATAAAAACCTGTGTTCTCTGAATTCACCTCTGTAGTGTGCTCCTTGCAGGGGGCAGAGGATGTGCACTGAAAATGAATGAAGGTAGGGTAATCTGTGCACTTGAGAATAAATACCGTATTATTAGCTGGTTTTTAAATAAATTATCTTACACAATTCCAGATTCTATCTTTAAGTAGCCTCCATTGTACTGTCCTGAAAGGAAATGGCTCATACAGTACAAGCTCCTGTCCTTTATAAATGCTTTTGTTGTGTTTTCTATTTGAGTCTTTCTGGAACCATAATTAGGAAATAACCGCTGACCAACTTTGTGTTAGCATTTGGACACATTTTCATCCAGTTGATTAATCAAAGATCACATACACACACACACCCTCAGTTTCAAAAGTAAGTGGTTGTGTATCCAAGTTCTGGGGAGCAGAAGACTTAGAGGTCAAAGCTGACCTGTAACAAGTTGCTATTATCTGCTGGAAGCTGGGATTCTTCCTTTTAAAGACATTGATAGCAGTGCTTTAGAAAGGGGCTACAGTAAGGTGGATAAGATAGTGACTCTAACCCTGAGATATTCCAGTAAACTTCGATTGCACTCTACTTGAACATGCTAGTTTTAAGGCATTGTCCTTTGAAGGCTCTTCGACACATTAGGTTTGCCAGTGAGCCTTGAAGAGAAGCTATGGTGCTGAGTCTGTGGCTGAGTTGCCAGAATGCTTACCTAGCAGTCAGAAAGCTCTGGGATGGATCGCCGTCCCTGCATAAACTAGCCAGGGTGGCACACCCACACTTGCAATCCCGGCTCTCAAGGAGATAGAGGCAGGAGGCAGAACTATGAGAAATTTAAGGCCACCCTCAGCTACCTAGAGAGTTTTCCTGGGTTCCATTAAGACCTATCAATCACTCCATGTCTTGGGTTGCTTTACCCTGCATTTCAAACCACTACCTCCCTACCTTCACCCCACCCCGACTTCTGCCATCAAAGAAATGCCTTCGCATTTTGCTCTGTTGTTCTTGCAGTGGTTCATGTTTGCTTTTCTTTTTATCTTTCCTTATAGCTTGCAAAATTGGATATTACAAAGCTCTTTCCACGGACGCCACCTGTGCCAAGTGTCCACCGCACAGCTACTCTGTCTGGGAAGGAGCCACGTCCTGCACCTGTGACCGAGGCTTTTTCAGAGCTGACAGTGATGCTGCCTCTATGCCCTGCACCCGTAAGTGGTTTGCTTGTCTCCTGTCTTCTGCTATGCCAGCAGCTTTCATTACCACCTAGCAGGGTGCTGCCAGGACTTCTCCCAGGATAACCTTGCAGGGGGCAAATTAGATATCAAGCACGCATCCCCTTCTATCATAGCAGGCGAAATGCTTATGAAAAAGAAAGGCTCTTTTTCCACTGTTTCTGGTTGCCTTCAAAATGCACAGCTGCCAACCGACTACTTTGTGGAGCAGAAATTGAGTGTTCAGGTTGTTTGACAGTGTAATTACAGCTGAGAATGGAATTTATAAATGGCTTTACCATTGCATCGAGGGTTGGGGGGTAACTTGACAAGCACAGGAGAAACAGGTAGAGGGCAGGGTTTGGGAATGTTCTGGTCCCAGAAGAAACAGCTTAGAGTACTCTGAGGTCATTGCTTTGGTTTTCATTATACCTCTTCCTTCTTCTGTCAGAGTTTGGTGTTTGTAACACTTAGGCCAGGACCCTAATAAATGCCTATTTCATATTAGGCACTTAATAAATGCTGGGTGAATGAATGGATGAGGTTGGCAAGCCTGGTGTGAAGCTGGATAGGAAAATCTCACACTTTCTTTGGACAATGTTCCCACGGTATTGCCATAGGCCTGTGACCTTGACCAAAGCAGGAATGATGAACCCTGGGTGTTTCCCTCATATTTTGCACTAGTTGAGGACTGTCTTTCAGGGCATAGCCTGGTAATGTGGCTTACAGGACTTCAAGCTTTTTATCAAACCATGGTTTACTAGCGAAGTGATTCCTTAGCCTGTGAAGTCTTAATTTTCCCATCTGTTGAGCAGAACTAATAATAGCATTTGCTATATTATATAGCTCTGTTCTGAAAAGCATTGTATTTAGAGATTTGGGGGATTTTTTGCAATGTACATAAATATTTGAAATGAGACCCAGCTGTAAACCTGAATCTCATTTATGTTTCATGTTATCCTCATAGCTTGATTGCAACTTCACACAGTACTTACCGTTTCTCTCTTTTTTTCTTTTTTTGAGACACAGTTTCTCTGTATAGCCCTGGCTGTCCTGGAACTCACTCTGTAGACCAGGCTGGCCTCGACCTCAGAAATCCGCCTGCCTCTGCCTCCCGAGTGCTGGGATCAAAGGCGTGCGCCACCACCGCCGGGCTCAGTTTGTCTCTTTTGACTGCATCAAGCATCCCCTTTTCACTCTCACTCAAACATCAGGTTCTACAGCACTTTGGAATTTGGGCATTAGGAATTCTTCCTCTCCTGCTGGAGAGGTGGCTTAGAGGTTAAGAGCACTGACTGACCCACTATTCCAAAGGTTCTGAGTTCAGTTCCCAGCAACCACATGGTGGGTCATAGCCATCTGTAATGGGATCTGATGCCCTCTTCTGTTGTGTCTGAAGACAGCTACAGTGTCCTCATATACATAAAATAAATAACTTTTTTTTTTTTGAAAAGGAATACTTCCTTTCTATCTCTCTGAGGACTGTAGTTATTATATATCTTCATGCTGGTTATGAATCTATAATGTGCACAACAATTCTACTTGATTTATTTTAGATCTTACTATTATTATTATTATTATTATTATTACTGCTACTACTACTATTATAATTTTGACCTTGAAATACTATAAATTCCAGGTGGACCATCTTGGGCCAGCATCACTGAACATAGAAACTGTTCCTGGTTTTTAAGCAGTTGAGGTTATTCTGTAGCACAATCAGGAACCACCCACCCTTAATGGGAGAAAGGAGAGAGGTTTCATTCAGGTCCATCCTAGAATTGTGCTGGACTTGCCATCCCCCCAGATTGGTTTTTATGACAAGAGAACCTACTGTGGTGATATAAATACTATACTATGTATGATACAAGCACTATGTGTAGGTTATGTGCCAGGCACTTTGGGTAGGTGATGTAAACACTATACATACCTTGTTGTGCCCGGCACTTTGGATGTTAAGCTTGATCACATACTCACACTGTAGTGACATACATGTAAGGTAGGTCTTGTTGGTTTTATAAACTCTAGCTCTGAGATGCCCCTGAGCAGCGCAGGGATGGAGCTGCACTGCCTGGATACTTAAGTATATACTCCTGGAGGGTCTCTTGCCTGGTGTCCTAGATTAAGCGTTAAACTTTCTAATCTAGCCTTACTTGCATTCATAGCAGTAGGAGTCTCTTAACTACCCTCCCATTTTAGTAACCGTCCCCAAACTTAGTTCTTCTGCATGGTCTCCCCACGCCATCCCTGTTCCCTTCTCGCTTTTTAAACCTTTATCTTGAGTTTTTCAGCTGGAAGGTGATACTGCACACCATTAATCCCAGGAAGACAGAGGCAGATAGTTCAAGCTTAGCCTGGTCTTCAGAGTGAGTTCTATCTAGCACAGCTAGGGCTACACAGAGAAACTCTGTCTTTAAAACAAAAGAAAAAAAATCCTGAGTTTTTCAGTATGTTTTATTCTCTGTTAAACTTGGTGATTTAAGAATGAACTCCCTGCCTCTGTCTGCAAGCACTACCAAACAACAGCCCCTGAGTGGTGGGAACTCTGAGCACAACAGCAGGCTTAAGAGGAAGTATTTTGGCCTGATGTTTACATAATGGCCCTTTATTTGTATTATTTGTATTTGTACTCCACCTACTCTCACACAGAGACTCCTTCCTTCCTTCTGGGTAAGGTTTGACTGCAGTCAATGTCAGGAAACTTAAAGTTGGGCCAACGGGTTTTTCATTCTCCTGATTCTGATTTGTTGTCCAGCATATTCTCTTAAGCCTTGTGCCAACCTAGTGACTGTCCCTCGGTGCTTGGGAGTGTAGGGCACCTCTGGAGATTGTCATATGTGTGTTGTGCTGGGTGGGCTGTTTGCCATCTACACCATAGCTATATGAGATTTTATATTGTTGCGAAATACATTGTAAGTAATATTCCATTTCAAAGACACAAATGAAAAACCCCCCCAAAAAATACTGTTTTTTTTTTTTTAAACTCACGAACTGAAACCAATTTTTTTTAAAAAAAATTGATATGACTTTTCTGTCCGATCCTCTTCCCCCCCTTCCTGATATTGTGAGCTTTTTGAATTGTGAATAAAGGTCAATAAAGAACAGCAGGGGTTCTTCCCAATTCTTTAAATTGCCTCTACTCTTTCCTCTTGTGGGCCTGGCTTGTGGGCTGGCCATCACTGTATCCTGCTGGCTTGCTCCCCAGGGCTTCTATGAAGATGAAATAGCACTGATGACAGGCTCACAGACTTCCCAGTCAGCCAGAGCTCCTAGTGCTATCCAAGTTAGGTTAGTGACAAAGAGTGTTTTATGTCTCCCCAGTTTCCTTATCTGTGAAAGGGATTCTCACTCTCTGTTCTTATGGCTGTTTTTTTTAAAAAAAAAAAAAATTAAGAAAATATTTGTGAAGGCCTGACAGACACATGGTCGGAATCTGGGGAGTGTTTGTCTCTCTTCTATCTCTACTTGGTTACTTACTTGACCAAACCACCTCTCAGGGAAGGGTCGCCATTTTATTGACTCTCAATCCTAGCTTGTGATTATTGTCCTGACTGACTACACAATTCAGTTATTCAGTGCCTACATTGCACCTCAGGATCACTGAGGTAGGACTCAAAAATCTGACTTTTAATCTCATACAGTTAAGATGGATATCACATCTTTACAGAGTTAATATTTCTTCACTTGATTAATAATGTAAACCTTGGAAGCCTTCCTGAGAGAGAGGGACACTCGAGGACCTGTATTATTAGATGAGACAGCAGGATTAGAATCTTGTCTGAGGATTTTTCTCCCATTTTGTTGAATATAGACTACAGCTATAGGCATAGGTAGCGTTAAGTTTTACATTCAGTTGCTCATTGTGTGTGCTAGACACATAGCAGAGACATAAATGTTTCTAACTTTGCAGAAAGCCCTGTTCTACCATACACTTGACTAGATGGTTCAGTAGAGGAAACAGTGGGGATTTCTCAAAGAACCTCTTGTTCTGATAACCCACAGACAAATCTTCCCCATTGCCGACTTTTTCGGATTTTCTTGACAAGATGTGGCGATGGAAGGGAACATAAACATCAGGGGATCCTTTCAAATGGATTTCAGCCGCTAATCAGTTCTTCCCAGTTGGTTAAGCCAGGTGACGAACCCAATTCCCTTGTGCTGACAGCCAAGATAATCAGGCACCTTCTTTGTTCATTATGCTGTCTTTAACCCAAGCATTCTTATGCAGCCCTGCATTTAGTGATCGCTCACTGTGACGGCACACTAATGAAGAAATAAAACACACTCTCCGAGACTCATTCTTCTGGCCAAAGTGAGACTCTGCTCCATTGGCTTGTAAAATCAGATTTTTGTTCACTTGGGGAACAATTAGACCAGGTAAATACAAGTCGCACCAGCTAATTTCAAAGGAGACACCTAAAAGTTCACACAGTCCACACTCCTGGAAAAATTAAAGTTTGGAGGACTTTTGAGGGATCCACTGGTTAGTCTAACATGAGTGTGTGTTCAGGCACACTGAGATGTTTCAGTCTGAGTGTTTAAAAAAGAAGTAGTCCATACCTTTTCAAAAGAAGGAAGCCTAATGCTAAAGATTGATACTAGTATTTGTTATTGTTGTTGTTGTTCTTGATTTTCCTTCTACTTTTGGGAATTGAACTCCAGTCCTTGAATATGTTAAGCAGGAGCTCTATTGTTGAACCAGACATCCAGCTCTTTTTAATTTAATTAGAGATGTAGGCTAGCCTGAGACTCATGATCTACCTACTTCATCCTCCCAGCTGTGATAATTCAAGATCATAGGTGGGTGCCACCAGCCCCAGCAGTGTTACACTTCACATCACTGTGGAAGAAGCCACATGAAAGCCACTTATGGGTTAGTAGGTCCAGGGCCAGGCCTGAGATTCTGCGTTTCTGACAGTTTTGCAGGTGATCATGTGACTGGTGGGCAAACCAGCTATCCATTTAACCTAGGTTCTCTGTCTGAAGGGCAGGAGCTC